ATTACTTACTATATCGGGTAACCAAATCATCATTTTTACGTAGTCGGTTATGTAGAATGTTCTGATAATAATTGTATTATCATCAACCTGATCATTAGGCCTGAAAAGTGCCCACCGTTAAAAAATCAGATCACTGTCACTTTTTATTCTAGATTATCACATTTAAGATTAAATTTACTATCTAAAAATGCTTCTATACATAAGTGCAAGATTATTTCCAATTGCTAAAAAATTCAAAATTTTGTACTCAAAAAGTAAAAAATTTGCCCCTTGAACCCCTGAATTGGGCTCTGCGCACACCGTGCTTTGTACGCTGCTACAGTTGACAAACCAGAGCAGGCATTGCTTGCTCGGCTGTGATCACCCAAGTTCAAAAATGGAATTATGGCCCTGTAAAATAGACTATGCTTAACCAAAGATGAAGCACATTCTGCAATAAAGAAGAGTTGGACAAAACAAAAGGGGTCTACGGAACAACACTTAAAGATAGCGGCCATGACCACCAGCTGGAGTTTATAGACACTAACACCACCCTGCCACGAGACAACAGGAAGAGATCCAGGAATCCCATACAGCTTCAACTTGACAACCAATATAGAAAAACATATTTTCAGATTGCCAGGCAAGCAATTCCCCAGAAGAGAAATATACGAAGAGAACGAGAAGGAGAAGAAGGATGGGTACTTAGAGAGAGTGTTGAATGTGAAGAGGGCCACCTTCAGTCTTCACCCTGGCTGTATTTCTCACATCTGGAGGCATGTCCAAAGAGTGTAAGCAGTTTGTAAACAGATTAGCAGACCTTATAGCCAGGAAAAAGAAAGACAGATATTGCGACGTGGTGAGGCATGTGAGGACAAAAATAAGATCCGCAATGTTAAGAACAATGTTGCTCTAAACAGAGCCCTTGCGCTTGCAGTAGCGCACGCCGCCGACCCGGCTTGTGAAACAAGCATGCCTGCAGTGGTGGAAAGCACATGGTTAGGTGAAAGGTTGTAGCGCGATGCACTACTGGGTCGCGCGCGCGCATCCAATAATGCTTCTCGCAACCACACCTCGTATGCAGATCGGCGAGATGCGAAGGATTGACATCGTGAATCAAGGTGAAAGGACAATGCTCATCACCTTATGAGGTTACAAAGGCAAGAAAATGGAGAAGAAATATGAGACCCCTTTATCAGAAGTCTTTTACAACCTCATCCCTGCTCCTATGATGGAGTACATGTGTATAATATATACTTGATTGATGATATTTCAGTAGCAGTGGACAATTTCCGTTACTTGTGTATTGTGCTCTCATGCCAATTGCATCACTTGATTTAATTTTCACTAGTCCAAAAAAGCAATTCCCCAGAGGACACCGGTTTCGCAATTTTTCATCCAGTTGCCTACCTAATGTAATAAAATTCATTCTAGTTTGTAGGTTTAAAACCTACCAAGACGCGCGCCGAGTTGGAACAAATATTTTAGTTTTATATTCTACGAGTATCACTCGTTAAATCCTAGTGAGCACCAGACACATAGCTCAGAAGGAGACAACAAAAAGGCTGCGGGAAATGTGCAATTGCAGGAAACCAAAACGTGCCCACTGAAACTTTCAGTAGACATATTGATAGACGATGTCAACCCTTCGATCCAGATCGTTGCTCTGCGAATTAACTAAGCAACGATATCGTCGATGCGAAGTAAAAATGATAATTTGCGTGTGTCCTCCAAGTTGCAAGTAGACATGTAATTTGCACCTTTTTCATTTGTGGTTGCGATAAACATTATTTGATACGCGGCGCGGCCTCATTAAGTACAACATTGCTGATTGTGTTGTACATTGTAGGTTTACAACCTACCAGGACGCGCGCCGCTAGTTGGACTCGTCGACGGTCCAATATATGGACATGGAACAAATATCACCCGTGAATGATCGTGCTACAACATACAAAATTAAACATATACTGTAAATTTAGAATTAAATATTATTTGATTCGATTTGTTTTTATTATAGCAACAATTAACAATTGGTTGCACATTCAAATTTTATTTAAATATTCAACATTTTTTTAGTTGCGAAAATGGTTAATTTATAAAATTAATAATAAACGGATTATTATTTATTGTTTATTCAATAATTAACAACTATTTTGTAAAATGTGCGGCTCAAGTTGTATTTGTCAATTGTCTTGTAGCGCGATGCACTACTGGGTCGCGCGCGCATCAAATAATGCTTCTCGGTAGATCGGCGAGATGCACCACTGTGCCTCACCGAGCTGCGAAGGATTGACATCGTGAATCAATCAATTGTCATACGTTGTATGATTTGACCCACTTGTATCACACAGGGGGAGCTGAAACCAGGTTTTCAATCAAACGCTGCCATGTGTAGTCAAACGTCGCCAAAAGTTGCTCTCGTCCAATGAAATCGCTGCATTTTGCAAGGCAAGCTCCGCAGTCCGCATATGAATATATGTAATTCAATTATGCATACTGACTTGCAAAATGTTGATTCACGATGTCAATCCTTCGCATCTCGCCGATCTGCATACGGTTGCGAGAAGCATTATTGGATGCGCGCGCGCGACCCAGTAGTGCATCGCGCTACAAGCAAAATGCAGCGATTTTATTGGACGAAAGCAACTGTTGGCGACGTTTGACTACAAATGGCAGCATTTGATCGAAATCCTGGTTTCAGCCCCCCTGTGATCACGTCGTGACCCCCACTTGTATCACATCGTGACCCCCACGGTCGTTTCACTGTAGAGTTTCTACGATACAGGAGAGCCGCGCACTCGTGCGCGGCTGGTCATACAATGTATGACTATGAGTGCGCGGCTTCCCCTGTATCGTAGAAACTCTACAGAGTCGAGATCAAGCTATATTATAGTGAAACGACAATGGGGGTCACTATGTGATACAAAGTTGTATGTGGTTTCATAATAATAAACAATTTTTAAATTGTAAAAACAAAAAATGAAGTTTCAACACCAAACACGCATGACACAGAAGTTTATAATTTTCATATAATCATCTAATCTTAAATAAAAATAATATTTATAATAGTTATTTTATTAAAACTTTTTTCACTAAATATACACAAAATAAAATATGTTCTTAAATTTTTAGTTTTAAGTGTCGCGCATGTTGAAAAACGTATTGAATCGAGCGCTACCATGACATTCGCTAACCAATTTTAATTATCGAGTAATAAAGCCGCTGATGGTACGTTAGGTCACTTAGACATGTTCCTGTTTTATTGCTCCGTCAGAAAAGGAGTCTTTCTTGTGGTGCCTTCAAAGTGAACGGAAAGGACTCCTCGTTCAATTTCAATCGAGCAAAGCTGACTAGCGGTGACAAATAAGTGAGATATGAGAGAGTTCCGTATTCTGTTAGGTGAAGGTTACATATCTTCGACCTCTTGGCAGCTCCAGGTACAGTAGTATTAACACGATGAGATTCCATTCATTTTCATCTATAACCTCTGCACTGTGCAATTTGTTCCACCTGATATCAAGACAATCTCGACCATGAACCAGGTCAAGGCAGTGCTTGATAGATTTCTTCGTACGTTTCCTACCCCTTGTTACACTGGGCCTAACAGAAATTCTCTGTTGGAGTGAGTTGGTAGCAAGAGTCAATAATTTGTAGTCGCATTTACTACCTATGGAACCGATAGCGGTGGAGATACTCGTTATCGTGGCCTAAGCAAGCTAGATCGAAGCTAACCCAAGATTGACAAGGCTAAGGTTTGATAACAACAGATTGTACAATTAAAATTTCGGCCTGACATATAAACTACTTTCGAATCGTACATTTAGCTTAATTAGGGTATTTAAAGCTTGTCACAGTCACTATAATCAATCATGATCTATAAGTTGCCTTTAACAAATAATTTAAGTTAAAATTAAAATTTAATAAATTAGACATAGCATTTAATTTTCTTGTTATTTATAACTGATCTGATATGAATTGAAATGTAAATCAAATTTAACTACATATTCTCGATTCTTAATTGTTTCATAAATTCAGGCATCTGATATGTTCATTTCAGGAAGTATGAATGAATAAAATAATGTAGTCTTTGTTGAGGTTTCAAAGATGAATGATGACGATAACCCTATGTTGATACTGGAAAATGTTGGAGAAGATAAAAAGTTGGAGTTCATCAAGAAATGTATTTATCGTATCAGTGATGCTTCCACAGTATCACTCACAGATCTTTGCAAATCATTTCCGGAAGTTGACCCAGCCTTAATTATGATATGTTTTGATGCAATCCTCAAGGACACAGAAAGTTATGTTACAAACAAAAGAGACAACATTGATGGAACTCTTCTGCAGATTTTAAAGGCTGAATCTGATAACATAATTGACAGTTTTAAAGATAATTTCCTAGCCAATCAGGAAGATCTGCTAAATTTTGACTGGAAAGCTAATTTAGTATTAGAAAGTAACTCTATCTCAAACCTCAGTGAACCTCTGGTGACTTTATCATTCAGTATAAAAAACCAGTCTGATGTTATTGTAGAGTGTAACGAGGAAGAGTTAGATTCTCTTATCCAGGAGTTAGAAAAAGCTAAATCAGAAGCTCAGTCCATTTTTTCATAACATCTTAGTGGATCTAAGTTTGTTCCCAATTCACTAATAAAATTCGATGGACTTGTGTATTTTAGTTTGATTTGAACATTTTATGTTTGTGTTTTTACCAGAATTAATCAATAGATGACTTCGTTTTTTGGGCAATTCTTACTGCTGTTAATATATTCATGCAGGGATTTTGTAAACTGATTGTTACACTTGATTTAAATTTTTACAGAAATAACTTTGTGCCTCTTACCCATCTCTTGATATTATTGTTTTACGTGTAAAATATTTTAAAGTTTGTATTCAGCATATCCACATTTATTTTGAGACTCTCTATGATATATTGTTTATTACTGGTAGTACCCAAAATATAACTGAGTACTAATAACAATGGAGCTGTAAGTTAAGAAAGGGTAACATTTACTAATTTCATCACACAAACTTAGTACAAGTATTCAATGAGCAGAACGACGCTAACAAGCCAAGAAAATACTGCTATCGTAAGTAGACTCAGCCATCAGTTATATTCCTGAACATTGTAACTTTTGGTTTTGGTTTTTTATTATTTTATAACTAATATGTATTCGGGGCATTGTGTACGGAAATAACCTATTATAATTTATACTGTATGTAAATTGTAAACAAAAAAAGATAGATTTGAACTGAAACGCGGCTTAGATTTTAACTACACTCCGTAAATAATCTTATCCTCTCAGGTTGATAAATACAAGAATGAATTCTGCCAGGAAGTGAGCTGTTTTATGTTTCTTATGTTCTTACAGAATATATCAACATTTTAAATTGGCTCAAGCCGTCCATCATTGTTCTGGTTTAGTTGAATTACTCAGTTCCATAATATTGAATTCCTTTATTTTAAATACTAATTTCTTCAGGTGGAGGAAATTCTCAAGGATGTTTTCCCCAAGAAAATAATAGAGCTTGACAAGCTTTATAAGGTAAATTTACTCTTACTGAATAACTGAACAAACAAAACTCTAGTATATTTCTAATTTCCAAACTTATGTATTTAATGATTGTATTTGTGTTCCTTTGATATCATGTACAGTAAAACCCCGATTTACTGCGGAGTTTGAAGAAAGCAAACATCCGCGGTAAATCGGGGTTCGCAATAATTCGGGGTTTTGTTTGTTTACATCATATGTGTTAAGCCTTATTTGGGGAAAGGGAGCTTGGAGATGGCCGCGGTAAATCGGGGTATATGCTAAATCGGGGTTTATGCTAAATCGGGGTGTATGCTAAATCGGGGCGCGGTAAATCGGGGTTTATACTAAATCGGGGGCGGTAAATTGGGGTTATGCTAAATCGGGGCGTGGTAAATCGGGGGTTTATGCTAAATCGGGGCGGGGTAAATTGGGGTTCATGCTAAATCGGGGGGCGGTAAATCGGGGTTCTACTGTACATCAAGTTTATAGTTAAAAACCTGTCTCCCTGGCCATGTACGAAGTTTGGTTTATAACCTTTGTAATCCTGTATCATGTCTTTAGAGTGATCAACTAAAGCTGAGTAGAGCTGAAGAAGTTAAGGAAGCGGCTAAAGCCTCGCTGAAGGATGTGATAGCTCAAAAAGAAGCAACTAGTATTCCACCAGCAGCCAAGAGGAAACGCAACGCATCGTCTTCCATTGAAAACGGAGATGACACTAAGAAGGGTAAGATAATTTGAGCTGACTTTATAGGAAAACTTTATTAGACTTCTAGCGTGGGACTCGATGTACTTAAATCATAGACCCCTTTCTAGTGCGGGCAGTGTGAGATTGTTATCTCATTGACATTAGGTGTACAATATTTAAAACCAATTATTTGTGGTTGCTATTTTTCATTAAATTCACAAATATTTATTTTTCAGAGATTCGATTTAGCACTAAAGTTAGCTGCAATCCAGTAAGTTTTGGCAAAATACCTCGTTAGGAATATATTTATTTCATGGTCGAATTTATTGCAATAAATAACATGAATAATAGAATACTCTATCGATGATAATTCCATTATTATTCCATTATATCGCTATATCCGAAGCTTTGGAGGGAAAAAATGAATTTTTTTATTTGTCTTGATTGATATGTACTAGTACCTTTTATTATACCGACAATAATCACAGGCAGCCGATCTGACATGGTTAACCACCCTCCTTGATGGTTAATCATATACGAGCGGAATATAAATACCTCATTTCATTCATTATTATATTGCATAATACCCGATTGATTTTATTCTATTCTATTCTATTCTATTCTATTCTATTCTATTCTATTCTATTCTATTCTATTCTATTCTATTGCTAATTAACAAATTTCAGGTTGTTACAGAGCTGATAGGATTTTTAAAGCCAGAGATAAGAGAACTTATAGAGTACTGTAACAAAGTGAGTGTATTAACTTTTTATTTTGTCATACGCATTAACATCATACATGTTCCGATACTTGGTGGTTTAAGTTACAAAGCCATATAGTTAATTTATTTAATTTGTTTGTCCATGCATCAAGCATTGATAATTGAGGGTTTCTTATATTAACTAGTAATATAACTTACACGGTCAGACAATGAAAATGGTCGACTGCTAACAGACTAATATCTTCTTAATTTAATCTTACAAGATCATAATTAAATAATCTCCTTAAATGTCGGGGGGATGTTAATATATATAGATAATGATGCTGTATTCAGTGTTTCAAATACACTGCTCTATTTTTAACATTTTGAAGAGGAACCTTTTAGAGCAGAAATAACATTGTTGAGCAAACATGATGAACCCAATCTTTCAATGCGCTGAAATAAGATCCTGATTATGAAACCAACATAATGTGTGACGTTCACTCCAAAAACAGTATTATATTCATTATTCAAATGACCCTAATCAGTGGTGTCGATTTCTTTGGTAATTACTTCTTTTTAAATTATTTTGTTTAAGTTTTCTGAGTTACATCAAGGGAAGGTTACCTGGCCTAGTTTATATTACCAAATGAAAGCTCTCCACATTATGAGTGATGCGTTTACTGCTGCATTAGAATGTCAAGTATTCAGGAATATTCTTACATTACTCTTATATAATCCGACTGTGTGCTAATTCTCAAAGGAACAGACAATGCATGTTGTTACTTGTTAACTTTGAATTTTACTTCCTACATTTAAGAAATTTAGTCTTTTTTATCGTTTAAAAAAAAAACTTCAATAATTTAACAAAATATCATTCAACCAGATAAAGATGTGGATACAACTACTCATACCAAAGATAGAAGATGGCAACAACTTTGGCGTTTCAATTCAGGTAACAGCTTTATAACCATATTTTTGGAGCCGTTCTTTGTCTTCAACTCTCTGACATGAGTTATGTACATAATATAATATGTAGATAGATAGCTTTATAAGCTCAATTCGTTGTTTTATTACATAATGTTCAGACAAATTTCCCGGCCTCCAAATCAGACCAATGAGGTTTTGAACATGACATCTATTTCGTGTTAATATTCTCTCGTATTACTTAAACAATAGTATCAAGTTACATAATTGACAAGCGGAACACAGTTGTGAGTTGTCGTGCCTCATTTAAAGGGTCTTTAACAACTGAACTTGAATCTGGCGCGCAATTAAATTGTGTGTATACTTTTTCAGCATTCGGCTCGCGCGTTTAGTTAGCGATAAACGCGCGCTAGTTATTACACAGTCTTAGCTTGTGCGTGGTCTGTGTTTATGTTAACACCCTGATGTCGTAACTCGGAAGGATAACTGCTTTAAAGTTCGTTATAATTCCGAAATTATCAAAGTACAATCAACCATCATACATCAAAATTGTCCTTAGCAGACTCTCGTTTGTTGGCCTTAGGAAAAATTTGACAAATGTCGTTGCGTCATCAAGTGACAAGTGACCTTATGGTATTTGTAAATGGTCAGGTCATTAGCCACATATTGGTCAATTCGATGGTATAATATTCGTAGAGACTTAAACTTTGAGCAATTTACAGTTTTTATATTTCTGCTTATTCGTAGTTTCATCTTCCCGCCTTTTTTAGTAAAGACTCAAATAAAGATTGACATTAGATTTTATCCTTTGTCTTTCAGGAAGAGACAATCTCTGAAGTATCAACATTTTGTGAATTTGCAAAGGGCTCCTTCGATGATATGTCTCGGTAAGAATTGATTTTTTAACAGGAATTCTTCTATGAATCTGTTCACTGCCCATATTTTACAGTCTCCCCAAATTCTCGGACATAACACGTGGAATTTTCAGGTACTTCGTCACGCGGGGGAAAGTTTCCTCTAAGATCGTCAAATACCCGCACTTGGTTAGTAAACAAAGTTTCTTAGTTTCCAGTTGTAAATCAGGTGACTTAGTGGTTTAACTAGCGGAATTAATTGTAATTATACTATGTTCTGTTACTGTTGGACCAAAGTAAGTTAATCATTATTGTGATATTGATTATTTGCAGGAAGATTACGTAAAGTACCTGACCGAGTTAGACGAGAAGCAGTTTCTGCATATCCGAGTGTTCACTAACGAGCTCAAGATGATCTATGTGAGTACCTCTCAGAATATCTAGCGTGTAACACTCTTCTTCAGTTTCGTGTTTTCTTCTGTTTTTAAATTTTGCAATAGTTTTATTTTCTAGTTTTCTTGTTTTTTTTTTCAACTTCTACGTACCCACAGTGTTGTATGTTTGATATCATCAACAAAAACCTGGAGAAGATCAAGCAGCCGAGGAGTCAAATGAGTTCGAACCTCTACTGAGCATTCAGTTAAAATCATCTTATGCAGAGAAACCCCCTCTTGATGTCACGGACTGTTGAACATCGTCACTATCATCGCAAATTCGGGAGAATTCTTTTAGATTTGGGTTTTTAATTGAACTGCTTTTATTGTATTAATAATTAATTCAGTTTTAAAAAGTTTAAAAAATAAAGAAGAGTTATTTACTGCATTATTTCACTATTTAAACTGCAAGGAGGAAATGACGACTTAAAAGTGTTATAATCTGAAGTATGATTTCAGCTATTTCCTGAAAAAGTCTAGAACTTGAAAAGTAGTAGATCGTATTTCTGAAGCTCAGAATGTACTAAAACTGTGTTCATTGATCGCGTCAGTGTTTTGTTTTGCTCTGCAGAGTTAACGAGCATCTAGATTTCAGTCTCTCACAGTGCACGATGTCTAGTTTCAAGTCAAGATTTCTTCAGTGGTCTAAGTCTGCTACTGGGAAAACTGTTTTAGAGGTGAAGTTACACATCTTGCTATTTGTACAACTTTCAAATCTCTGGCTACTTAAATTGTTCACTAAAAAATAAGTTATCTGCCATTTCCAATTTGGTTCACCACGTCAGGTTACTACAGTGGTGTTGCTCCTAGTGCTAGGGTGGACCTCCTGTTGGTCCGTACTCGGAGATGAGTGTCTCCCTGACTCCAACATCTTCGGTGAGCATCTTTTTTAAATTTCGTGGCCTGGTGCAGATTATAGCAGGTACTGCCCGTACATCAAATTCACATTGATTATTTGGCCATTAATTTAACCCGCCATAATTAAACGAAGAAAGGTATGTATAATGTACCTTCTATTCCGCAGTCTATGTATATTGTATAATTTATCTTCTAGTCCGTAGTCTGTATATTGTAAAATGTACCTTCTAGTCCGCAGTCTACATGTATATTGTATAATGTAGCTGACTTTTTGAATTCACTGCCCGGCCTCCATGTACTGGTGTTGACAGTTTCTAATACATTCAATGTACTCTCCTATTACGCAATACTCTCTGTATAATGAGTGTAGTACATAGGACAGGGCTTTCTTGGGAATTTAGTTCAGTGTTATCGAGAAATTCGGATTATGTAATCTTTGAACGATTTCATGATGATACATGACTTGCCTTCGCTATGGCACCATGTGGCCATTCAGCTGTAAATTAAACAAACCGGACCTAAATTCAACTAATATTAGAATGATAAGAAACTGCAACATATACCTAAAAAAGGCATCAATGAATTTAGCATGAAATGGTGAAAGTTGTGCAAAAATGCTACGCTTACAATCAATTTAATATTGAGTTCTAGAAGATGAAAACCAAAGGGGTGACCAATCCTACCAAATTGGGAGAAATATGTTAGTTATCTATACATTTTACATGAATTATGGGGATTATGATTTATGGCACTTAGGTATCCTGGTATCCTGCGTTTGCGGGAAACTCCTGGGAATGTTGCTTGGTCTCGTCAACATTCCACCTCTCATCGGGATGATCGCATCGGGAATTATTTTCAGGTTTTAAAATCTTCAAATTTTCCAAATGGAGCGTTTAAATTTTGGAATTTTACGAGAGATCCTGTAATATTAGAATCTCCTAATTCCTATCTCCTTCATTATCCATTTTATTTAGTCGTATTTAGTCCCTTACATTGTAATGTAATGAACAGTGAACACCTCTCCGCAGGAACGTGCCTAAGATAAATGTAGCAGGTGATATAGACGTGAAATGGTCCTCTGCTCTCCGAACCGGGGCTTTTGTTATTCTGCTTCTTAGAGCTGGGTTGGGACTTAGGTTGGACATTCTTCGTAAAAACAAGGTGTGTTTTTTAATTCGCATTATTCTTTGTATCCTATATTTATCAATAGCTCCAACCTACCTTTTTACTATACATGTACATAGTAAAAACTACATGTAGTTTAAGAAAAAATTCTTTATTTTGGGGGTCGAAGAAGGTTTGGACTTTGGTCATTGTCAAACGTTTGACGATAAAGTTAGCTGTTATTGATTTACCTAATTGATTATTCCACTTAATTAATCAATTAATATAACTAATACTCAGATGCTGGTAGCGTGTTTGTCAGTACTACCTTGTGTTGTGGAGGTCATTATAATTGCCTGTGTTTCCCGACCTCTTCTAGACCTTCCTTGGAACTGGGCTTTTCTCCTCGGGTAACACCGTCTTCTTCATCCTTTCTAAAACCTATAAATCTTACTACAACTAAGAGCTGGGGGGGGGGCCAAGTGGATATTTGTAGATATTTGGATAATGTCATCCACTTTCTTCGTGAATTATCCATTACAATAATCTACAAATATCTACATTTATCTACAAAAAATGTATATCTCAAATATGTGCCCAGAAATTCTACTGAGATTTTGGAGATAAATGTATAAATTTGTAGAATTTGTAGAATTTTCGTGAATTATCCATTGACAATAATCTACAAATATCTACATTTATCTACAAAAAATGTAATCTCAAATATGTGCCCAGAAATTCTACTGAATTTTTGGAGATAAATGTATAAATTTGTAGAATGTCATCCACTTTTTTCGTGGATTATCCACTCTACATTAATCTACAAATATCTACAAATATCCACTTGGCCCCCCCCCCCCCCCCCCCCCCCCTAAGAGCTCTATTATCACTGTCGATCAGTCCAATAACACACATTTACACAATATTCCAATAGAAAGGTAGCCCCCATCCCAGGTTTGTGATAGTAGCCCCCATCTCAGGTTTGTGATAGTAACCCCCATCCCAGGTTTGTGATAGTAACCCCCATCCCAGGTTTGTGATAGTAACCCCCATCTCAGGTTTGTGATAGTAACCCCCATCCCAGGTTTGTGATAGTAACCCCCATCCCAGGTTTGTGATAGTAACTCCCGTCCCAGGTTTGTTATAGTAACCCCCATCCCATGTTTGTGATAGTAACCCCGGCCCCCATCCCAGGTTTGTGATAGTAACCCCCATCCCAGGTTTGTGATAGTAACCCCCGTCCCAGGTTTGTGATAGTAACCCCCATCCCAGGTTTGTGATAGTTACCCCCATCCCAGGTTTGTGATAGTAACCCCCATCCCAGGTTTGTGATAGTAACCCCCATCCCAGGTTTGTGATAGTAACCCCCATCCCAGGTTTGTGATAGTAACCCCCATCCCAGGTTTGTGATAGTAACCCCCATCCCAGGTTTGTGATAGTAACCCCCATCCCAGGTTTGTGATAGTAACCCCCATCCCAGGTTTGTGATAGTAACCCCCATCCCAGGTTTTTGAAAGTAACCCCCATCCCAATTCCCAGGTTTGTGATAGTAACCCCCATCCCAGGTTTGTGATAGCTGGAGTATCCCCGGCAGTGGTGATCCCTAGTATGTTGTCCCTGATAGACCCCCATCCCAGGTTTGTGATAGTAACCCCCATCCCAGGTTTGTGATAGTAACCCCCATCCCAGGTTTGTGATAGTAACCCCCATCCCAGGTTTGTGATAGTAACCCCCATCCCAGGTTTGTGATAGTAACCCCCATCCCAGGTTTGTGATAGTAACCCCCATCCCAGGTTTGTGATAGTAACCCCGGCCCATCCCAGGTTTGTGATAGTAACCCCCGTCCCAGGTTTGTGATAGTAACCCCCATCCCAGGTTTTTGAAAGTAACCCCCATCCCAATTCCCAGGTTTGTGATAGTAACCCCCATCCCAGGTTTGTGATAGCTGGAGTATCCCCGGCAGTGGTGATCCCTAGTATGTTGTCCCTGATAGACAGGGGATACGGAAACAGAGCAGGAGTCCCTACCCTTCTCATGGCTGCTGCAACTGCTGATAACGCCTTTACCATCACCGGGTTCAGTGTAGCCCTCAAATTTGTCTTCCCGGAGAGTACTCATGCTGCTATGGTTATCATGGAGGGGCCTATTGAGGTCGTCTTGGGTTAGTTTGCGTTCTTCTCCTTCTATATTATTTTACACTTTTACATTACAGTACAGGATTTTTAGATGACGAGTTAGTATGACTTCTCTAGCATATGACCCACTTGTAATAACGATAATTAGCAATTTATACCACTTACCAAGACATAGTTTTAAGAGACCCTACATTTAGGTGGAGTATGTGGTGTGGTACTAGGGTACATCCTGTCCCACCTGCCTCCCCACTCCCCTCACCAGGCATCAGTGCAGACCCTCCTTCTCACCATGGTGGGGTTCAGCTGTGTGTTTGGGCTAAAGAGGGCTACCTTCGCTGGGGCAGGGGTCCTGGCTGCTCTTGTTATGTCTACTGTAGCTGCTCAAACCTGGCAGACTAAGGTAGGAGCCGCTGGTTTTTAAGTCTTTTACTTTCACTTTTATTTGTTAATAAAGTTATCCAATGGACTGATAAAGTTTAATTTGTAGCTCACTATCCTTGTCGGCAGTATTTATCACCTCTCACCTTGTCACCCCAACAGACTGAGATATCAGCGTCTCTACAGAAGTTATGGCTGGTAGGGGAGACTCTGCTCTTCACTCTGGTCGGAGCTCAGGTGGAACTTTCTTTACTCAACTATAAGATAGTCGGTGAGTTGGAGAATGAGGCCTGTTAACTCTGATCATTTGCTACTTTAGGATAGTGAATTAGCAATATGTTATTGTGTATTCTTTAAATCTGGAAGAGTTTAAATGACCAGGTTACGGTGTGGTTTGTTTAATAGTGGGAGTATTGCTACGATGTGGGGTGGCGTTCCTCTCTGTCCACTGCTCTTCCCTGCATCTTAGTGAGAAACTGTTTATGTGCACCTCTTGGACTCCCAAAGCTACTGTGCAGGTATATTATCCATGTATTTCTCTAAGTTTTCCTTGGTTAATAATCTATTATTGACTGTAATAATTTATAATTAGCTGTTATAACTGTTCTGAAACTCCCTTTTCAAGTTCTGAAACTCTCTTATGTTCCAGATAACCGACATGCTCCCTTTTCAGGCTGCTATTGGGTCAATAGCTCTTGACAGAGTACGAGAGACCCTCCCAGGAGACAAGACAGCAGAGTTGTACGGTGTAACAGTGTTGTGTGTAGCTGTGCTGGCTATTATCGTCACCTCCCCACCTGGTGCTGCTCTCATTTCTCTACTCGGACCTCGTCTACTAGACTTTAAGTACAGACTACACTTCTATTTATAGGAATTATCCCTAGAGCCGTTTTACTTAGCACAAAAAAATTCAGTCTGCTTCAAGATCCCCTTGATCGGTTTGGTATTTGGTAAAATTCTTTTTTTTTCGCACTCACTGAAACTAAAAGATACCTTTTACAGGTCAGAAGAAGTTGAACCTATCCGTGTGAAGGAGAGTGAGAAGGAAGAAGTATCCACTGGTTTAAACAGCGTACATAACTCTGACGATGCAGATGGTTATAGGAATGTTTAACTCAAGACTAGCAGATACACGAATGGATTGAGATTTACGGTTCATTATAGCACTCATATCCCTGAAATCAGTTTGACTAGACGCTTAATTAATGTTACAATAATTAAATCGGTAAATAGAATAGTAATTTTACAATATATATATAGATAACATTAATTCATTAATTCATCAAATCACTTCAGACTTTTCGTAAAATTGTTGTACAGTCATCATTATCACAGTCATCACTCCCTTCCATCTTTGAAGTTGTTGCTCTCTTGCCCTCGACCCCGGTTTGAACGTGGTGAGAAGGACTTGGTCTGAAGCCATGTCTCAGTAGCTGTTTTAACACGGAACATGTGCCTTATCTGTACCTTCTAGATTTGTGTTTCTTTACATAGTGCTCGAAGCTCTCCAAACTGCTGTCGCTCTCCGAGCCCGACGAATCCTTGTACTCGATAACAGCGGGGTCTTCCCATCTCTTCATAATGCACATGCTGCCCCTCGCCCTCTCGCTGTTTCCCAAAGTCATCGTCCGTATCCCAGGGTCCACATCGAACCGGACGTTAACCGGGTGCCTTCTTCTGAAGTTACAGCACGAGCCGGAGAATGTGCGCATCCGGAGTGAAATCCGGCCGGACATCTCCACGTTATAAGTGATGAAGATGACCGGATCGAAGGCAGAGTTCATGAAGGGCAGGATTACACCCGTAATGAACAAGATGGTGCAGTTCGGCTCTGAAATTGTTAGACATAATTATCAATTATAATGTGTTCTACTTGAAATGAAATTAATTGTAACACAATATACTATATACAATATGAATATGGACATCATTATTCCAATTGTGATAAGTCCAATATCGGCGCTATGAAAGACGATAGTATGATAATAAAATCCAACAATGATTCAATATAACCAAGTGAACAATAGTACATGGTTGGCCTCATGTTTTTCTCTAAATGATTTGTATGAAACAAAAGGTCAGCCTCGTACAAAATAACAATGGATTGACAAGGGTTTTCAACTTACTTTTGTCGGATTTAGGGTAAGCAACATCGATTAGCATGAGGACCACATAAGGCAGGTAACATGCCAGTAACAGAGCCGTCAGAGCCACATCTGTAACCTTGCTCTGACCGTATGTTGGCTGCTGGACCACACCTCTGTAAGTTTGATCTGCCTTGAGTTTGTGCAGGTAGTCCGCTCTGTGTTTCTGTCTCTGTTTGTAGAGACACACTGCCAGACTGGTGAGTATGATGCCTAGAGGCAGGACGTACAGGATACATATGGACACTATCCTGAGACTATTTTTCTTAGTGTTTCGCTCTGGGTAGTAGATGTACTGTTGCATGTTTACCTGGTAGATTGATTGGTGGTCAAGTTTTAAGTTTGATGAAAAGCACAAGTCAAGCAGAATGCTTTAGGTAAAACTGTTAACTTCTACTATACATGTGTTCATTGTTGTGATAGTAAAATAATATTTATATTTAAATGAAGAAATATTAATATTTATTTGATATCAATATTTATATTAATGAAGAAGCTGCCTTATTTCTTATACCAACCACAAGTAAAAAGTACCTAGTAGTCGTATAAAAGTATAAGCCTAGAGTGACTAAACCGTACCTCTGCTGGAAGAGCGAACTGGAAGTCGAGAGTTCCCGCCAAAAACAGCATCCAGCCAATGGGGAACAGTAAGATAACAGCAGAGCTTGTCCTCCTTGAGAAGACATGAGTGGGACTGCAGTACTTGACTGCTCTCATCGATATGAGAATAGTATTGTAGACCAACTTGGAGTTCCTAGCAGTGGAGGTGAGCGTGTAGGTAACAAATATGAGGTAGTTGAAGAGTTTCTGGGACCCTGGGGTGTCTTCAGGGGAGTAGAGCACGTAGAGGAGGAGGAGGATGGTGTGGATGACAGCATCCAGACCCAGGATACTGTTACAGAGCGTGGTGATGAAGTAGTACAGGGGGAATACCCCCTCCCTCTTCTCCCTGTAGTAGCCTAACACGTACATGTTGAGCAGCACTGTTTGTAGACCCAGCATGAAGGTGAAACCTGCGATGTAGGTGTGCTGGTCCCCTTTTATGTCCAGCTTAATTATCGCGCTCTTATTAAATGTGTACGCGCCAGAACAGAGCGTTAACGTCCTCGGAATAAGCCATCCTTCAGCCATCGCAATAGCTTCTACGTGGAATTAGAGCTTTGACTGTTCTGATCTCTCAAACGAAGGAATGCTAAGATTGAAAAATGACAATGTATTATAAGCAGGAGCTGGTTTTGTCAAAGGAAAATAGACGACGAAATATCCTGTCGAGAATTAAATCATTGTTCAACCTGGAGGGTATTTAAGTCAAACTTGGAATAAATGAACTTTTTGTGGTCAGCTGTACTGTTTTAATAACATCCTCAATAACGCCATTATGAGCCGAATGATGTTCCACCCTCATTTTAATTGGTACACATCACTTGGTGTAATGGAAAAGCTATGCTATAGTGTAATGCGACTAGTAACTGTAGTGATGGCATTTTTCTTCCTTGATATGCTGGGCTACACGAGTCTGGATAACTTACATGGTATATTATGCTTCGTTTTATACAACTTCAATACTGTGAACCATGACCATGTGGCATGTCACATGTTCAGTGTCGTTTTCTGGAAAACTGGTAAAAAAGATATTTAAGTCTAAAGAAAAGTGGTCCACTGACAGTGGTGTCTACTGTCTACAGTATAAGAGAAACTAATAAATGTATAATAATCACCTTGCTCTACTCAAACAATTAAATTATAAGATATTTAAGATACATCGTGCTTGTCAAAATAGTCATCTACATTATAGCATTAGCAATTAGCAAGAGCTCACCACTTTTCATGGCAAAGTCTATTAGTTTAGTAAGTTCCTCAACATTCCATTAGCTCAAATTTCGAGAAATGTGGTCTGATTTTAATAATACTATGATGTCGATTAATCTTAAACCAGTTAGGCAAACTTTAGAGATGAACATGCAAGGGTACATTCCTCAGATCCTGAACAAATATAGTCGATGATTCTGAAGTCAAAATTGCTAAGTTTATCTACAAAACGATTACTAGTCTGACCTAAATTTAACCGAGCGGTATTGCGTACAAAGATTAACCCTCGATACATAGAATTAGATGATAGATGGAACATGGCAACCCACTTAACTCATGAACCACCACTAAACACTATCGTTAACTTCTTACAGAATTGATTGTGAATATTAACGGATAAGATGTTCTTAAAGCTTAAATAAACTTTATATAAATCTGCACAGCATGCAGATAAAGTGTTCTATTTTTTTTCAGTCAGCTTGGGAGAAATCAAACTTGATTTTCAGTTCATTCCAGAAATTTGTATGTTTTAATTGTATGTTATTCAAAATTATCATGTTTTGCTAATTTCGTTTGTCATGTCGACAATAATGCGATACGTGTACATGGTTAATTTTCAATTTTAGGTCATAAAAACGGCCACAACTTTTCCAAGTACGTGCCCGTGATCTTCATTATGCTCGAAGATAAGTGTACAATTTGTATGTCACACGTTCAGCGGTTCAACACTTTTAGCATGAATAGCAAGCTCTTGCAGTTGCCTCACGTTGTAGGCGCACGCGAATGCGCGGTTATATACGTTGTATGACCTTGTATCACGTGGTGACCCCACTGTCGGTTCACTATAGTAGAGTTTCGACGATACAGGGGGAGCCGCGCACGAGTGCTCAGCATGCGCGGCTCCCCCTGTCCCGTAGACACTATAGGGTGAAAGGACATAGTGAAACGACCGTGGCCGTCACTTGTATCACGTCGTGACCCCATCGTCGTTTCACTATACCCCTGTAGAATTTATACGATACAGGAGGAGCCGCACACTCGTGCGCGGCGGGTCATACAACGTATGACAAGGGGTCACGACGTGATACATGATACAATCAATTTAATATCGTGACTTTCAGTACCCCGATACTGAATGGAATGATGCAAGGATGATGATTAATCACTCTACACTCGACTGTCACGTAGGGACTACCGGTGGGTGATGAATAATTGAGAATCCAACAGGATCTTGTTCTCTTCATTGTGCTGATTCCGGGAAGCATTCGTTTTACGCTCTAATCATATTAAAAATCGAGATATCGGTCATTGAAAAATGAGTAATTATAGGCCTGTCAATGATTGCAGCCCAATTAAGAGCTGATCAGTTGCAGCTACTTGTGCCATATAAGGGATAACTGAAGTCACGTGACCGCCAATCCTATCACGTGACCTTGATTCGTAAATCCTTGGTCACGTGATCACATTCGTAACGTGTCGAATGCTGACTAGGATATCTCGTGACGTCACCAGAGCTCAAGTTTCCTGACCAGGCCTTATATGGAATAATATAGTGTATCACGTGTAATTGGATCCAATGAAGAGGAGTTGCGCAATTATCGCAGCATCTCGATCTGTGACAGTGTCACGTGACTTTTTCAACCCGTTCGTTCTCTAGCTGGTCCTGAACGACTATTCGAAACCCTAACCCTCTTATCTGATCCCAACCCTAACCCTAACCCAATCCTTAACAAAAGTATATGCTGAAACCCTAACCCTAACGAGAATTTAGAGTTAGACTAACTTCCTTATACGGTCATATCACGTGATCGAGACAGTTTTTCGCCAATATCTCGTCAGGGGAGCATTTTAACCCTATGTCATGACATGAGGGGTGATTCGGAATCAGCGTCCGAAAATACATCGATTGAAGTTGGTTTCAACATGTCGGGGGCCCTTTTAGAACAATCTCGAAGATCGACTGTAGAGTGATTTAGCACGCTCGATGAAGCAAAGGGGGTCACCACTCACCTTTTCCATTGTTTATATGAATTGTTAATGGACTAGCCTGTCGACGGATCTTACTGATTGTCTAAATTTCTTCGAAGTAGCGCGCGCCGGGCCAAATCATTAATGATTAACAATGGTCAAACTAGCCCGGCGCGCTAACATTTCGAAAAGAAAGCGGGCGCGCTACTTCGAAGAAATTTGATATCTACGAGTAACATCTGTCATTCATCATAGGTCATGCGTCTGCAAGGCGAAAGCAGTGCGGCGGGCCTACAACGTGAGATAAGGATGATGATTAATTAATCTACACTCGACTGCAACTGTCACGTAACTTTTTCAACCGAATTCTCTAGCTGGCCATGGGCCTGAATGACTATTTTTTCCAAATATAATTGCTTGCTCTAACCAGAGCCCTCTCGCTTGCAGTAGCGCGTGACCGCAGTACGCGTATTTACATGAGGACCCCAGGCTATTATGTTACTGGGCCGCGCTCAGCCTGTCATTCCGCCAAATCTTTATTCGTTAATGAACATAATAGCCTGGGGTCCTCAGGTAAGCTATTATGTTCATTAACATATAAACCGAATATATAACCGAATATATAACCGAATAAAGATTTGGCGGAATGACAGGCTGAGCGCAGCCCAGTAATACGCGTATACACATAACATTTATTTATGAATTGATGTATAGCCAAAACGAGTCCGTTAGTGTTCTTCTTGGTAATTTCAAATTTAATTCCAGTTTAAAAATTCCAGTTTAATTCCATAACATGGCTATGGGAATCTAATTGCCACTGAAATGAGCTTAAAAATACATTCAACATTTGACATTGGTGTTAATTGACGGTGTCAATTCATGGCAGCTCGGCGCGGCACAGTAGCGCATCTCGCCGATCAGTAGCGCATCTCGTCGCTGTGAGAAGCCTTATTGAGTGCGCGGCGCGGCACAGTAACGCATCGCGCTACAAACATTGGTGTTACTGCATACTGAGTTGACGGATGTTACTAGTCTAAATTTATTCGAAGTAGCGCTTTCTTTAACAATGGTCATCAATTCAACATACTGGGCCGCACTCAGCCTGTCATTCCGCCTAATATAATTTTTATTCTCTAAGTCTAATCTCCATATGTTTATGAACATCGTGATAGCCTGATGTCCCCAGGTAACATTGGTGTAGCTTACTTTCACAATTAAATCCCACAGCTTTCTAGCATAAACAATAAAACAAAAACGTATAAGCATGTACTGTACACAGAACGATTAAAATCAAGTCGCGCGGCGCCCGCGGTTGATTATTGATTCAGAGTTTGGAATTAGCGTTCAAAATACATTGGAGGACTTTGCCGCTTCGACGCGCCGCGCAAACTTGTACATTGTAGGTTTACAACCTACCAGGACGCGCGCCGAGTTTGGAGTTGGTCCAATATATGGAACAGATATTTTACGAGTATCAACCGTTAACGCGCAAACTAGCATTCTTGCTTCGCCGCGAATAGTTGCAGGGTTACGATTTCAATTCGGAAGGGTTGACATGACATCATCAATTAAAAATACATTGAATCTAGTTGTATCACGTCGTGACCCCCACGGTCGTTTCACTATGTAAAGTTTCTTTACCTGAGGACCCCAGGCTATTATGTTCATTAACAGGCTGAGCGCGGCCCAGTAAAAGTTTCTACGATCCAGGGGAGCCGCGCACTTTCAAAGGCGAGGGTCTTTGTCGTCTTGAAAGCTCCAGGTTATTCAGTATCAACACGATGAGATTCTATTCATTTTTATATACAGTCTGCACTAATAGAAGGTGTCGTGAGTCGGAAACTGCCAGCTGTTCTGACATTTATAGACTTTAAGAAGGCTTTCGGCAGTGTACATCGTGGGAAATTGTTCAAGATTCTAAGAGCTTACGGCATTCCAGTCAAAATCGTAGAGCTGATTTGGCTCATTTACGAGAAGAGAATGTCCAAAGTCCTAACTCCAGGCGTGACGGAGAAACAGAATTGTTCAAGATACTTGCGGGTGTTTTATAGGGTGATGCCTTATAGCACCTTACCTCTTTACAATTAATTACAAAAGCATACAATTAATTACAAAAGCGCTGATTATACCTGTTTCAAAAGCATCCTGTCTGGAAGTTCCCTGACTGCCGTGTGAATCTTTGGATCTATTTTTGGATCTATTTTTATATTGATATGATTCTTATATACCTATATATTCCTCGCATAATTTCCATGTCCGCCTGGATAAACCTGGCACCATCAAATCTTACCTCTAGAAACCCCAGAACTCATCAAGCCTAGTCTGAATTCAAAACTAGTTGACCAGCTACGTACAGTTTCCTGGACAACTGGAACCTTTAGCATGTATGGTCCTGCAGTTGGGTCTGATCTCCTTGTCCTTGGATCTGTGTTTTGATCCGTCTTTTCTTAAAATTTTCCATTTGTGTCACTTAGACTCACCTATAAAATGTGACACCACTGGTCCTAGTTAGATTTAGCCATGGCACGACTACTCAAACGTAACAGTTAAATAGGTGTGACATACTATTATATTCTTATAATTATATCACATGAATTGATTGCACTGCTAATAAATAGGGGGGGGGGGGGGGGTGTCACGTCCGTCTATGTCCGCTTGTCTCATAGAATCCAAAAAGGACAGGACATAGGCGGACATAGGCGGACATAGGCGGACATAGACGGACATAGGCGGACATAGACGGACATAGACGGACATAAGCGGACATTAATGGACACCTAAATTGCTAAATAAAATTTTGCTGTTATAGGGGGATCATGTTTTTTGTCCGTTCGGTACCCTATATTTTCAAAACAGACAAAAAATAGAGCGGACAAAAATGGACAAAAACGGACAAAAAGTGAAATAACATTTAGATGCTTCCTCCTCCTACTCTTCCTCCTCCTCCTCCTGGGTCTTCCTGATCCTCCTCAGTCCTCTTCCTCCTCCCCTCCTCAGTCCTCCTCCTACTCCTCCTCCTCGTCCTCAGTCCTCCTCATCAGTCCTCAACAGTCCGACAAAAACGGACAAAAATGGAAATAACATTTAGATGCTTCCTCCTCCTACTCTTCCTCCTCCTCCTCCTGGGTCTTCCTGATCCTCCTCAGTCCTCTTCCTCCTCCCCTCCCCAGTCCTCCTCCTCCTCCTGAGTCCTCCTCCTGGGTCCTCCTCCTGGGTCCTCCTCCTTCTCTTCGTCCTCCTCCTCTTCCTCCTCAGTCCTCCTCAGTCCTCCTCAGTCCTCCTCCTCACCCTTCTCCTCAGTCCTCCATCCTCCTCCTCAGTCCTCCCCCAGTCCCCCTCCTCCTCCTCCTATTCAGTCCTCCTCCTCCTCCTCCTCCTCAGTCCTCCTCCTTCTCAGTCCTCCTCAGTCCTCCTCCTCAGTCCTCCTCCTCCTCAGTCCTCCTCCTCCTCCTGAGTCCTCCTCCTCCTCTTTCCTCTCAGTCATCCTCCTCAGCCATCCTCCTCAGTCCTCCTCAGTCCTCCTCCTCAGTCCTCCCCCTCCTCTTCATCCTCCTCCTCTTCCTCCTCGGTCCTCAGTCCTCCTCCTCAGTCCTCCTCCTCATCCTTCTCATCAGTCCTCCTCCTCCTCAGTCCTCTCCCAGTCCCCCTCCTTCTCCTCCTCCTATTCAGTCCTCCTCCTCCTCCTCCTAAGTTCTCCTCAGTCCTCCTTCTCATTTCTCCTAAGTCCTCCTCCTGAGTCCTCCTCCTCTTCCTCCTGAGTCCTCCCTCTCAGTCATCCTCCTCAGTCATCCTCCTCAGCCATCCTCCTCAGCCATCCTCCTCAGCCATCCTCCTCAGTACTCCTCAGTCCTCCTCATTCTCAGTCATCGTCAGTCTTCCTCCTCAGTCCTCCTCAGTCCTCCTCAGTCCTCCTCCTCCTCCTGGGTCCTCCTCCTGGGTCCTCCTCCTGGGTCTTCCTGATCCTCCCCAGTCCTCTTCCTCCTCCCCTCCTCAGTCCTCCTCCTACTGCTCCTCCTCGTCCTCAGAACTCCTGATCCTCATCAGTCCTCAACAGTCCTCCTCCTCCCCAGTCCTCCTCCTCCTCCTGGGGCCTTTTCCTGGGTCCTCCTCCTGGGTCCTCCTCCTCCTGGTTCCTCCTTCTCCTCCTCAGTCCTTCTCCTCCTCCTCCTCAGTCCTCTTCCTCCTCTTCCTCCTCCTCCTCCCTCTCAGTCATCCTCCTCAGCCATCCTCCTCAGCCATCCTCCTCAGTCCTCCTCCTCCTCAGTCCTCCTCAGTCCTCCTCAGTCCTCCTCCTGGGTCCTCCTCCTGGGTCCTCCTCCTGGGTCTTCCTGATCCTCCCCAGTCCTCTTCCTCCTCCCCTCCTCAGTCCTCCTCCTACTGCTCCTCCTCGTCCTCAGTCCTCCTGATCCTCATCAGTCCTCAACAGCCCTCCTCCTCCCCAGTCCTCCTTCTCCTCCTGGGGCCTTTTCCTGGGTCCTCTTCCTGGGTCCTCCTCCTCCTGGGTCCTCCTCCTCCTGGGTCCTCCTTCTCCTCCTCAGTCCTTCTCCTCCTCCTCCTCAGTCCTCTTCCTCCTCTTCCTCCTCCTCCTCCCTCTCAGTCATCCTCCTCAGCCATCCTCCTCAGCCATCCTCCTCAGTCCTCCTCCTTCTCAGTCCTCCTCAGTCCTCCTCATGAGTCCTCCTCCTCCTCAGTCATCCTCCTCAGTTCTCCTCCTCCTCCTAGGTCATCCTTCTGGGTCCTCCTCCTCCTCCTCCTCCTGGGTCTTCCTGATCCTCCTCCTCCCTCTCAGTCATCCTCCTCAGTCATCCTCCTCAGTCATCCTCCTCAGCCATCCTCCTCAGCCATCCTCCTCAGCCATCCTCCTCAGTACTCTTCAGTACTCTTCAGTCTTCCTCCTTCTCAGTCCTCCTCAGTCCTCCTCCTCAGTCCTCCACTTCCTGAGTCATCCTCCTCAGTCCTCCTCCTCCTCCTGGGTAAGTTAAAGCTATTAATAGCTTTAGTGTGATTTTGTACAAAATTATAATACATAGAAGTTGCGAAAAATTCTCAAAATGTTTGTCCGCTAATGTCCACCAATGTCCGTCCGAGTCCGCCAATGTCCGTCCGGGTCCGCAAATGTCCGTCCGGGTCCGCCAATGTCCGTCTGAGTCCGCCAATGTCCGTCCGAGTCCGCCAATGTCCGTCCGTGTCCGCCAATGTCCCAAAAAACACGTCCGTTGTCTCATAGAATCCAAAAAGGACAGGACATAGGCGGACATAGACGGACATGACACCCCCCCCTAAATAAAATACTTTGTTTTACTAAAAATACTTTGTTTTACTAAATAGTCATCGACTGTGAGTCAGTACTTCTCTACGGATCAGAAACCTGGACACTGACAAATGCTCAAGAAAAAAGTTTGGACGGGACATACACAAAGATGGTGCTGGGTATCTCATGGAAGGGCAAGGTCAGCAATATAACTTTGTATGGTAGCCTACCAAGGCTGTCAAACAAGTTACGAAGCAGTAGATTAAAAATGGCGGGACACTGCATCACTCATCAGATATCCTGAGCTACTTGCGTCTTGCCAGTGATTTAGTCTTATTGGGCACGGTAGAGCACAGCAAGGCCAACCAAGACAAAGCTACTTGTCTATGTTACTGAAGGAAGTTGGGACAAACTCTAAAGAGGAACTGCGAACCCTGATGCGGGGCAGGGATATATGGAGGGGGCTATCTGGCGTAGATCGGACTTAGTTCCGACATAGTAGTAGTAGTAGTAGTAGTAGTCTGCGCTGGGTAATTAAATTAATTAAATGTTGCTCCACCTGGCATCAAGATGATCTCAACAGAAAAATTTGTTAAAATTAAGGAATTGTGAAAGTACTGTAGTAGTAGTAGTAGTAATAGTAATAATATAATTATTATATAATAATTTATTTTCAGAAGTCCAATAATTTTCCAGTATACATCAATGTAACTTATAGAATAAATTATTGACTTATGTTCCCTGTAAGTGTGTACTGAAATTAGTTTCAGCATTTGGACATTATTGGTTTCTTCCTAAAAATGGCATCAAATATCTTTTTTTCCCTTTTTGAGATCACAAAATGCATAGCGTATTGTTTCATTATAACTACATTATATTTCACTCAGAAGAATGGTTTATGACAAGTCGGTTATCAAACTCCTTCAAGTCTATGGTGATGACCCTGTCCATGTCACCCCTACTGTCATCATAAAGATCTATGAGAGAATATTTGGTCATCTGCCAACAGGTTGCATAAAAGATCCCACCTGTCAGACAGATGATGTCCTGAATATATCAAGAATTCTTAGCTATCTTCAAGATTATGTTTTGAAAGTTGATCTGAGTCACATTGATAGCCTCAAAGTTGTCCACGGAGATCCGATCTCAGGTACACTTTACAGTATTGGTATTATAAAAATAAAAAATAAAAATTGACATGTTGTGATGTTGCGTTGGTTTCAATATTGTAGGACACTAACCTTGATAGAATGTTGCATATAATATGTGAAACTCATGATCTAAACTTTTGTTTTTAGGTTCCTTTCATTTTTTCACATCAATAGAACTTAGCAAATTAGCTTTCTTTTCAGTCGAGTATCTACTAGAGATTCTAGCAGGGTATGTTGAATATATCCTGGATGGTGATGGGGACAACAGTCAGAATATATCTGACCTCACTGATGAAGAGGCAACTCCCAAAGTTGTGAACAAAACTTACACGCCAACTAAAGAAATTCTATCAGAATCCCCTATCAGATCAATACTTAGATTTGACGATGAATCAGATTCAACTGATGAAATAATAGTGGAGCCTGAAATTCGTAACACGTCAGCTTTCTTGGCTGGTTACAAGGAGGGAATGGCCATGTCTTATGAGCCAGATGACCTGACAGTAAGCATTGATAATAAGAACAAAGCATCTTTACTTGACCGGCTCAATCAGCTTCCAAATCTATCTGAAGCATTAAAGAAGAATGGGGTAAATGTGCATGATTACACAGCTTCTTCAGAGCAAATTAGTAAAGTAAATGACACTGATGAATTACTGGAAGCAACAGGAAATACGAATGACTTGCTTGCAGCATCTGTTTCAGACCTAGGAGACTGTGTTGCTCAGTCCACTCCATATCCAACAAAGGCTGAGTACAGAGTTAGCTCTCCAGTTGCCACTCAAACTGACCAAAATGTGGTGAAAAGCCAAGAGTACCCTAAAACTCCTGACCAGAAATTAGATGAAAGCATTAAAACCAGGTTGTTATTTTTACTGGAACAGAGTGGAAACAAGAAGTCGCAGAAGCGGCAGGTTAGATTTAACGTACCAGATTCACCTAATGATGAAACAGAAGATCCCAACAAGTTGATGGAACAACAGAGGTTCGAATATGAATTGGAGAAGAGAATATTAGAGGAGGAGCTAAAAGAAAAGGTGGACCAGCTTGTTTTAGAGAAAAAGAAACTTCGAGAAATCACCAAACAAAGAACCACTCCTAGACCACCCAAGAAGAAACTTATCAAGAAAACACCACAATCTAAAACTAAACCCAATGCTACAAAATCTGAAGTTAAAGCATCTGGACCACAAAGCACGAATAATGTTATACAAGACTATCTTCTCCCACAAATGCTGGACGATTTTCCGTACCTACACGTGTCTCCACAAACAGCAAGGGTTCTGTGGAACAAGCAAGTTAAGCAGATCAATGCTCTGACACAGACTGACGGTAGCAAGACCAAGCTGATTAAGAAGCATCTAGAAGAAGAGGAGAGGAGACAAGAGTTGCTGCTGAACCTGATGAAGAAAGAGTTGGAGTTTGTCAATAGGGTCAGCAATAAGAATGCTATCAAGGATGAAAAACGTTTGCTGACAGCTAAATTAAGAGGTCTTTTTAAAGTTTTATTAGATAGTTCATCCAAATGTAACGAACTTTTTTTTCATTTGATCTTTCTTGCCATTTTTGATAATTAGTGATAAAAATTGCTGAATATTAGGTAGAAAATAAAAATTCTATTCTTTCAGAAAAGAAACTCACCACTGCACGGGTTAGGAAGTATCACCAAGATTACTGTCGGAGGACGAAAGCAAGAATGTGCAACAAAAGTTATAAAGAAGAAGTTATGTTTAAGCAGCTATTCGAAAAAGGTCGGTTATTTCAGTTTTCAACTTTGTAATCCTAATGTAATGGGAAAAGCTTTGTAGCTTTATATATAGCATTACAACCCCCCCAGTGGTGTAACGTTCCCTGTTTGCGCCCCCCTTCCGAAAAAGCGCCCCCCTTTTGGCACCCCCTCCCCGTTTGGCGCCCTTCCCTAAAATTGGACAAATTAGCCGAATTTATTGCCAGTCAAAGGTCAGCGCTCATGTGTAATTGTATTGCGCGAGCGATTTTCAATCGCGCAATACAATTACACATCTTTTGAGCAATCACCTTGAAACTTTCAGGATATGTTCTAAGGACCATTTAGAAACTTCTGGTCGATCAGAATTTTGAGATAGGCCTTTAAAAATTTTTTATTCGATTTTGAAAATCTTGGACCTCGTTTTTTGACGATTTTTCCAGGTCCGGGATTTTCAAAATTGATTAAAAAATTTTAAAAGGCCTATCTCAAAATTCTGATCGACCAGAAGTTTCTAAATGGTCCTCAGAACATATCCTGAAAGTTTCAAGGTGATTGCTCAAAAAATGTAGGAGAAGATAGATTTCTAGACTCGATTTTCAGGGCGCGCGATTGAAAATCGCTCGCGCAATACAATTACTCATGAGCGCTGACCTTTGACCGGCAATAAATTCGGCTAGGAACAATATTTTTCCATAGGACCAAAAGCAGCAGATAGATATCACTCCCCTCTATCAGAAACAACTATAAAATCAATTTCGAGAGAAATTTCATAAAGACCCCCCCTGCCCCCTTAACAGGATACTCTGGTAAAATATCTAAAAAAGTGTGTTTCTAGAGCAAAACGCGCAGTTTTGCTAGTACAGTAGTTAAGTTTTTCCAAATTGTCCCACATTCAAACGACGATTTGGGGCCCCCCCTAAGACGGCACCCGCCGCACAGCAGGGTCGGCGGGGCCCTTCGTTACTCCACTGCCCCCCCCCCCCCCCCCCCCCCCCCCGGATAAAAAAATACACTTATGACTTCTTTATAACAAGGTGGTCAAAATTACTAAACACAAAACTGACACTTTAACTATTTCTACGATTGTGTACATTATCGGGTTTACTTAATCTTCAGGACTGAAGGTTCAGAAAGAGAACTTACTGGAAGCCAAGAGACTGGCCAAGGAAGATAACGAAACCGCAAGGATAAAACATGAGAAAAACACGAAAGAGTTAGAGAATGTCAGTATCTATAGATATTTTTATATCTTATAACTGATTTAATAGTTTATGATCCCTTACAAATCTCAGTACCCACCAGTGCATGATAAAATAAAACTAATTTTGTTTCAGTACTACACGGACCAGTTTGATCTGATGGCGACTGAGGTAGACAAGGCAAAGAAGGAGAAGGAAATTCTGCAACAAGAAAAGAGACTTCGATTGAACAAGCAAAAGATACATCAGGTGAAATTATGTTCTTGAATTACTCTAGTGAGTAGTGACGCGTATTCTGTTCTACTCCTGGAAGAAAAAACATATTTTGAAATTGATAATGTTACTCCTTCAAACCATTCTAACTATTCGAATATTATGATTTTAAATCGGTTTAACTAACAATACATGATTTTAAGTATGAAAGTCAATTGTAATCTAGCTTTTGGTATATTTCAGCGCCAGAAGATGAAAGAAGAGATCGAAGTTCTCCAAGAAAACTTAGTCAGATCAGACGAGCATCTCCACTACAAAGAAATTGAGTTTGACAAAGCCCTTCAGAACATTCATTAAGAGAGGGACATATTATTTGTATCAGGTTTTTGTAAATAAAACTTACATTATTGAACGAAGTGGGCAATTAACTCATCAGAGTTTCTTACAAACAGTGTGTATACTTTTTATTTAATTAGGGGTAACTGCTGGCAGTATGACAATGTAACCACACTTTTCAAATTTAGTTTAACTTTTCTTGATTCCGGCCACTGATTGCCACTGACTCACAAGATTGCTTTATTTTACCGTAAATTATTGTTTTGTAAATGAATAGGGCAGCTATATAAAATAATTTGATATATGTATTTAACTTGATTTGTACTCACTACAACATCACATATTCATACAGATCATGTTTTATACCTGTCCATATGGAATGATGAGATATAGATGTGTCTTTTTTTCGTTGGCTGGCTGGATCTTTTGATCAGACTGTTCAACACTTTAGGTGTGTTTTCACCCAAATAATTATATGTACCAATCGAGAGATCTGTGCATCGAGGAGTATATTGAAGAGTTTAGATTTTAGGCATCATCACGGTCATCGCGTTATCTACTCTGATTCTACCTGGCGATTATAAAATTTTCATTTTCTGCTGTTTATTTTCGGGTTGGGAGATCATCCTGTAACCGATAGTGTCAAAAAACAAGGGCTGTCGTCTATCTGGAAGCTAGGTCTGGTTGTTCATTTCTTTTGGGATAGTGCTCCAGAGTTTGACACCTCATACAGTAATGTAATTGTTAGCCTTCCCATAATTTCGCTTTTCCTGATCAGAATTCAAGTTTGGTCAGGGTTGCAAGAACATCAAACGTTAGTCTAATAAATCAGATCCATATAGATTACAGACGGTCCTGATGAAAAATTCAATCAAACTTTTATCGATTCACTGCTCATAATAACAAATCCGTGTTGTGATCTGTACTTCTGTAGTAATTTTGATTTATGGCGGTTTCGATTTATATGTTTAAATGCGCGCGACCTAATTTCTTGTGCACTTTTTTCATCGCCTGCAGTTTGCGTGCTACGCGCACGTGAGTTTACATACGCAAGATGCAGTTTACCTCTTTTTCTAGCTATTTCTTGGGCAGCAGAACTGAGAACCCCATGGTCCATTCGAAAGCCTGGTAGTATAGTTGGGACAACTTAATTGGATTTAACGCTAATACAAAATCAACAGGGAGATAAATAAGGTATTGTGGTCCATTCAGATCAGTTCATGTTTTGAACACTTATCTCATATAGCTACACATTTTCCTCGACTGACTGATTGTGACCTCCCTAGCTGTTCTCATTAATCGGACTATTGGTTTATCTGAATCATGAATATTCTCAAGCATTTAATGCTTATGTTCACCTAGATTCTCAGTAGATCACGTTGGGTAAATAATTGAATTATAATATTTCAAAAATACTTAAAAATGTAAATTCCAAATGTCAAATATTAAGATTAAAGATATTAATTTCTCGATTAAAGATTAAAGATATTAATTTCTCGCTTTAATAGATTTAATGGATAGCAACAACAGGGACTTGTGGGTCTGAAAAAAAATTGGAGGACTTAAGGCGGATAGAGTTCTGTGGACACAATTCGCATCGACACTGATCCTGAGACGTTGCGAAGCCGCCTTTGCCCTTTAGTCAAGTAAGTAAAGCCAGTTAATAGTTTAACTTTAAAGTAGTCCGTTTCCGTAAAAGCTATAACAGTATAAGACTGCCATAATTTTATCAACGACTTGGATCAGAAACGTTCTAGTAAAAACTTTAAAATGTGGATGATCATTGACATTGATATCAAATTAAAATTTGTGTCATTCTTACGTTTTGCACTTTGGGAGCTATAGTGTCAGTAGCTGATGATGTTGCGTCATTCTACACTGAACTATCACGTGACTTAGTTTAACACGTTCTCCGGATTGTGGATGGCTCTGACGGATAATTCATAACTATAACACCCTGTTCTGGCCCGACCCAAATCCTAACTCAATCCCGGCCTATAGCTTATATTAAGCATACATCGCTGCTCAAACCCTTAATAACCCCAACGAGAAATTGGAGTTACTTAATTATATCATATATGGCCGCATGTCGCTTTTATGTATGTGGTACCCGGTCTGTTAGCCTAACAGGACGCTTGGCCTAACTGTACTATTGGTCTACCTAAGTATCTGTATACTGAAAAAATGGACGGATGGCCTAATCCTAATTTAGAACAGATTATAGACCAATAGCCCACTTTAGGTCGCTTGGCCTAACTGGACTTCGTCATTTCTCATCCGTTTTGTTTCATTTTTTCAGATCATATTTGATAATACACTCTCACTGCCGTTTTAAATTTGTTAGCTCTCGTTATCGCACTGCTTATCTCTTGATAATTGCACCGCTACTGCGCTGCTAGCTTGTTGTGCTGATCTTTACGATGGCAGAATTGGACTTGGAAAGTATCAATTACATGTGGAATGAGATGTTCACCTGGAGCAAAGAGACTCTGAAGAAATTTGGCAAGCCGTACGGAAAGTTAAAGGACATTGCGGACGCTAAGAACTTCAACAGACTGAATAAGCCGGAGATTGTCGATGTGTGTGGTCGATCTTTTGAGTATACGAACTATCTTATGGAGACCGTTGAAGCGTATAAGAATGTGTTGACCAGACTTCAGGGTCAGTTAATTGAGAAGCAAGAGCAGGTTATCAGTGTTCAGGCCGAGCTATCAGCTTGCAAGACTGAGAAACTTGAAGCGATGAAGAAAACTGTGTCAAGTTCAGTTGCTGATTCAGTGAAAGCGGAGTTCCAATCTTACAGCTCTATCGTTCAAAGTTTTCCAGCACAGTCTCCAGTAATCAGCCCAGAAGCATTGACGTCTGTAGTTAAGACTATTGTTGCAGAGGAGGACCGCAGCAGGAACCTTCTTATCTTCGGTCTGCCTGAGGAAAAAGAAGAGAAGCTCGAATCTCAAGTCAGTGAAGTTCTGGAAACTATTGGCATAAAGCCAAAAGTAGAGGCTCAGAGAATAGGAAAAAAGAAAACGGTTGACTCAACGCGACCAGTTAAAGTTATTACCTCAAACTCGCTCATCGTTGATCAGATTCTGAGGAATGCCAGGAACCTGCGGCAGAGTGAGAAGTTTAAGACAGTTTTCCTGAGCCCTGATCGGTCTGTCGAACAGAGGAAGCTCCGGAAAGATCTGGTACAGGACATGAAGAAGCGGGCACTTGCAGAACCGACCAAAAAGTTTTACATAAAGAACGGGCAAATTTATTGTGCCGATGAGAGCAACGGTTGACAACTTTTTTTGAGTGTGTGTTTCGTGTGCTGTTTTGATATGTTTTGGACCATGTTTGTGAGGGACATAGTAGCTGGTAGCTGTAGTTATTTTCTAAACAAGACTGAATAGTCTTCAGGCTTTAGCTGAGCTTTAATTTCCGACGCAGTTTTGTTGAGCCACTAGTCCATGATGGGGAATATAAACAATATATTTAACTCTTAATGGTCATAGCTACTTTTAATTTCAGGAATCATACAGATTTTAAAGTACGCTGGTACGATTTTTATCTTATTAAATTGCTGTTCAATATTTATTTTAGTAAACATTAACTGGGGTAGTAAAACCCAGTTCCCAATCGATGCAACATTTAATAATACCGCCTCTGAAAAAAATAGGCGTCCAGCATGTTCTGAAAGAACAATAAAGGTGTTTTAATATTGAATGGGCGTGGTCTAAAATATTTGAATTTTAAAATTTTGGCGACGGAATCACAAGTAGGTACAGTATGCCATCTGCAAAGCAACAACTCTCAAATATAAAACACGGCGGAGGTATAAGACCCAACGTATGTGTACTGACTTTTGGCCCACACTGTATATATGTTTATTTAGAATTAGATAGTGATACAACAAGCTTATTAAAATAGAATTAATTTATGATAATCAAATCAATAACATATTTCATTGCAACAAAATATCGAATTATATATCAAACGGTTCGCATCACACTGTAGGCCATCCGTCCACTCAGTCCAGTTATATGCGACCTTAAGTGGACTGGTGGCCTAAACTCTGATCTAAAGTAGTATTAGGCCATCAGACCTCAAAACGGTCGCTTGACCTAACTGGTCTCATGGCCTAATTCATGGTTTTAGGCGTTAGGCCATCCGTCCAGTTAGGCCAAGAGACTTAGAATCCTTTAATGTTTTAGAAAAAATCTCAAATTGTTCCAGTGTATGTAAAAATTGATTAAGCACGCTTGTTTGTTTGATAAATATATATAAGCAGCACGTAAACACTTTGATCAAAATAGGATAAAACAGCTTTCAGTTTCATTATCAAATATATACGATAAGACACAATTAAAACTTGCATATACTTTTTCGCGCGTAAAAAGGATATGCATCGTGTAGCAAGATAAAACGCTGAACAAAATTAAATTCCAATAAACAATACACAATTATCCTTTGACAAATCATAGCTAGCCCTGTCAATGATGAGCTATGAAGAAATCGTGCCATCGTGGGATCTCATCAATGCTGGCCGGATTTAAGTTCATTAATTAATCGAGTTGTATAAAAGGTATCCTTAGATAAGAAATTGCTCCTTACATAAGAAATTGCTTTTCGTATGTGTTGGCTTCTTCAAAGCAAGTGAATGCGAGATAGTCACATTCAATATTTCCAATCATGTAACACGTTACGTAACGTCTTATAGCTAGGGTCAAAGACTGCATCTTGTATCGTGTCACTTGACACCTCACGCGGCGTATAGGTATAGCTGGTAGGGTCAGAGCCCAGAGGGTCTAATGGCACATAAACATTTAATAAGTACACTTGATAATAGTTAATACCAAATACGGATAAAATCTGTCTAGTGTCCTGCATGCTGACGATCACATATACCGTTTAATATGGTTATTACAGTAACCATAGTGGTAGATATTCAGTCCTCCAAACGGACTTGATTCCTATTTCCCACTGGAATGAATCTCTATCAGGAGTATACAGTTTGGGGGTCCGGGTAGGTATTCGGTCCGCTTATCGCTTCTGGAATATTGGAAGTCAACCTCATTAATATTTCACTAATGGTCCTCGGCTATTTACAGTATGCACTTGCATGGCTTCCGGCTTCCCTCCTCTCTGCTCTTCATCCGTGTAGTCACCCTGGAGGAGTTTGTTTCATACTCGGGACCCACGCGTACGCCATTTCCTTGTAGCAACGACCATGTGAATACTCTGATCTTATGGTTAAGAAATACAACAACTATCGGATTCAACATGGACGTGAAACACGGTACGATGACGAAGGTCAGATAAACATATCCATATCTTGCTAGATTAGTCTTGGATAGGATAAAGTTGATGGCTGACAGGCAGTAAGGAAGATTCATGATAAGGATGATCCAGCAGCTTCTTGTTCTCGAGTCAGCCTCAGCTCCTCTCTTGGAGAAGATTCTGCCCGTGGTCAAAAATGAAGCTACTATTCCCAGGATACACTGAGCGATGTTCAACCAGTAGCAACAGTCCACCGTGAGAATAATAATGTAACGTACCGAAGGGGTGAGTTCCAGGAATTGACAGAAAGCAAACCCGAAGTTGTTGACAGCCATAAGCAGGGAGTAGAGAGCAATGTACGAGAGAAACACCCCCTGGGGGATGTGGAGGAATGGGCAGAATATTGAGATCATACGGACGATGGCCAGGGCAGAGGTCGTCACTTGAGAGAGGCAGCCAAACGAGCACATTATTAGGCTAGGTACTGCGTAGAACCTGAGGATTAAGCGAATTAATTAAATTAGGGGAGATTAACCTCATATCTGTTTTTCAGTAGGAGGTTCTACTGCTCAAAAAAATTAATTTAATTCTAACAATTTACCTGAACATGTCGTCAATTTTCTGGTCTTTGTTTGTATTGACCGCCAAGTCGACATCAGTTGAGATACAGAAGTACAAGATGTGAAGTACAGGGTAACTGTTTGTACAGAAATCAGAGACAGACACCAGCATGAACAGCTTCCTACTTAGCTTCTCTGATTTGTTCTTCCTGAATATTGATTTATTAGTTGACTAATCAACGAATCGAGATCAATTAAGTCGCTCCCTAAAATAGTTTAAGCGCATTCAAATAATAAACGGATTGTTTGTTTTTGAACTTTTGTAAAAATGATTTATTAACCAAGATGACTACATAACTGATCTCAAAAGCTCTTAAAACATTTAATTTGGCATCTTGTTTGTGACAGGTAAATGGGACAGAATTAGGTAACCTGTAGTAAAGAAGGATCACAGGGTTAAGTAAAGTTGATATAAAGAATCCGGTGAAGAGAAACACAATAACGAACAGGTTCAAAGATCTGAGTTGCTCGTGTGAGAGGTTCGTCATCCATCTGATCATCTTGCTTTCTTCCAAGTGTTATCAAGTTAATAAATTAATTTATAATTATTTCAGAGCTTAGTTCGTTACTTGGCGATTAGTCGATCAAATATTGGTATTAGTAATACTTCTTGAACCGGCTTATATGGTTCACTCTTAGCAACCAAAGAATTCGAGCTTAAGACAAATCGAAAATCGACTCTGGCAACAATTGGAAATTATCTGCTCATTATAATAATAATATTAACTAAACTATATAATTATAATATTATTGTATTGTATCAGATGCCATCGTGGAGTAGGTGGTCTCCTGCACCTTTTCCCCCTCGACATAATAGAAAAACCTAAACATGCAACCTGTCACTTGGCCATGAAAATTGAAAAAAGGCTGGGATTGACCGTAAAATTGTATAGAAATAAATGCCCTTCGTAACATTTATTCCTCTGAATTGAAAAACGACGTAGTATGTTGAAAGTATGAATCAGTATGGATCGTGGTGTGAAGATTAGGTACACCTCTGTGTAAACAGATACAGGTTATGAAGTTTAAACATAAAGTAATATGGTGTAAAATGTACATAATATCGCAGTTCAAAAAAGCATAAAAAACAGAGACGCGAACATCACGTGTTGCTGTCACATGGGAGAGTAGAGATAATAAGGGTTAATTACCGATTCAAAGTCCCAAATGATTTAAACGGGTGGAAAACGGAAAATTGCGGGGTAATTATGGAACTAATAAATACTGAGTGTGGTGCTACATAATGACTAATGATCCTCCTCGATAGAGAATTTAAAAAGAGTTTAGAATAAAATGTTACGGAAAAATGCGAAGAAAAAGGTTTACTATGCTATACTCTAGTAGCAGGGAGTAGTTGAGTGTGCACTTCGATGTGTACGATTTCTGACAACACAAGGTTGTTTGTTAGGTCATTCTAAACCAAAATCGTTTAGGTGCACAATTTGTTTCGCTAGAGACAACCCTACAGGGCAAATTTTCTAAATTACCCTCAGTCGCGTATACAGGATTTTTGTATTTCAGCTCCTGAAGGTCTTGCTCCTGAAGGTCTTGCTTCATAACTTGTATATAAATGTGGTCATTGCGGTAATTTTAAGCTAAAATTGAAGTCTCTATGACCTTCAGGAGCTGAAATACAAAAATCCTGTATAAGCGACTGAGGGTAATTTGGAAAATTTGCCCTGTAGGGTTGTCTCTAGCGAAACAAATTGTGCACCTAAACGATTTTGGTTTAGAATGACCTAACAAGTTAACAAACCACCCTGTGTTGTCAGAAATCGTACACATCGAAATTCGAAGTGCACACTCAACTACTCCCTGCTACTAGAGTACTAGGATAAACAGGGGATTAAAGATGATAATAGGCACGCGGGGACAAAGGTGCATAATTTTGACAGTCGACAAGAGGACGAGTAAGATTTGAACAAAAGGAGGAGAAAATTGCTACAAAATAAGTTTAGCCCCCTCGAGTCTCTAATTGGTTGGTCAAGAGAATATAATTGGTCTCTAATGTTCTTCACATTGGTACATGAGGAATTATATCTCCTTGATAGGTAATTAGAGAAGTACTATATCAATATGATTAGAACTTCTCTAATTACCTAGCTGCACAGTGCACTAACTAAGTGCACAAGTATTAGGACCGCAGGAAAACTGTTGAGGTAAATATAAAAATACATGCTATGATCGTGTCGTGTGGCAGGTTAAAAGTTGAATAAGTTTAAAAGGTGAGAGGAAAAATAACGGAGGCAGTTAAACAAGCGAAGTCAACATAATAGGCGGGCAATTTGGCCGGTATCCAGTGTTAGTAGAACATAATCATAGACTCTGGTGCTCTGTTACGGTGAACATGAACCTGTGAACTAGGGACGAAACAAGAATGTTTTGCGATATAATTGGTGCTAGAAGGTGAGCTATACGGTGAATGGATTGCTAGAAAAACAAAGAAAGACCGAGCTCCAAGAGAGAAATAAGGTGGCAGGTAATGAGGTAACCTGAAGATCAGAACAGAGAATAGAGGGTCTCATACTATACCAATACTATGAAAGTGTGAACTGGGGGCGAAACAAGGGCTGTCCGTGGATGAACTAAAACTGAAATGGTCCTAGAAAATGAGATGATTCAGGAAATAGATTGAGCTATAACTTATACAATCGACAGTAGAAATGGATAAAACGAAACGATGAAATAACAATGAAGGATTCAAGGATGTTGTAACATTGAGTGCTCCTAAACACGGAAATAAACTGCCAATGAAAATAAGATGTCAGAGAATATACGGAATATACAGATCTGAAAATACAGAGGAGAGATACCAGAGGATACAGGATACGAATTGAGGATATAACGGGTTATGTATTATGATAAGTATTAAAAGAGATGAACTTAATATCTACAACGAGAAGAACTACAGTTGTAGTACTGGCAACAAGAGTCGAGACTGATAACTAAGTGCTTTGAACACGATGTTACTGCTTAAGCTGAAATATTATGATGACTTTGAGTGAGATTTTAAGTAATAAATATTATTTATTTACAATTACCTATTAAAATTAACATTAATGAAGTATTGTCTCTGTTTCGTCTCCGAAATTATAGCACTAGAAACCAGGCAGCAGCTAAACTAGAACGGTATTTGGAAACCTGTTAAACTGTTAGTGATTTCTAGTGACGATTGGGTTCAGTTGTCGTTTCAAAGTTAATTAGGTAGACTGATTGGGTTTATAAATATCTTCCCAAGCTACCCTGTCTAGGAAAAGTCCAAATTGGGTTCAGTTGTCCGGTAGCCTGTTGATTACATAATTAACGAAAATTGTCCAATTGGTATTTCGAAAATCGGTAAAAAATTAAAATTTTGATTACGTAATCAACGACCAAAACCCCCTCCCCTCCCCCTGTAATCAACCGTAAGCATTTAAATCCCCCCCCCCCCTCGGCTGATTACGTAATATGTGAACGACCCCTAAGGCAAAATCGCAAAAACTTTTAGTTCAAAACCGCTTGGACCCATTTCCGCTCGAAATAAGGCAATAATTGAATAATTTGAATAACAAATAATTTGAGGACAACATGACACTTCAAAACTTTGAACATAACACGAGGAAATATGGACAGAACTGAACAAGAACAAAAACCACATTCAAAGACTGAGGAATCTGGAGGACTCTGCAACCCAGGAAACAACTTCGTTACAAACTTTGATTTTCCGACTTAAGAAACCAGGGAATAAATTTTACTTTCCTAAAATTAAATCGTTGATTTTATTTCTATATCATTTTTTCCCTCAAATATTACATTCTGCAGAAAGTTGAAGATTTACATTTTGGAAGCATGTAGGGATAGAAATCTGATATCGATCGTAAATACTAAAAATACTCTAGCACAATTGTAATTGCAGTTTTACAGAACTCTAAATGCTTAATGAACACACTTGCAGCCTGCAGGTACCACCCGTATTCACACTCAGAATTGAGTTTAGTCATTTTCCAATACGAGATTGGGGACGTGTTCTATAAAAAAACAGCAAACAAGGCAATAATTACGACCCTCTCGAAAGCTGAATTATGATTTAAAAATAATAATATATAAGAGCGTACTGTAGCCAGGTGATGCTAGAAAGATTTGTTCGGTAAAAGTATAGATTTGAAGCATAATCACAGTGATTGCATTTTGATGTCGCGTCGAGCCCTGAAAGTCATTATATTATTAAACGCGTGCCACAACTACCAAGATAAGCATATTGAAGTGCGCAGATGCACACACGCATATATGTATATACTATATAATTATATATAATATATATGGATTATGGAGACATAAAAGGTGCTTGATGCTGATAGGACGTTATAATGATACATATGTGATTTCTCATTTCATGCAATGTTATTGTGAGGGTACCATACTTTGCTAAGGAAGGGTGGATACAGGATACTGTACGATGATATGATATTATATGATCGAGGAATCGGTATAAGTCACGATATTGGCAATGCGAAACTTTTCCGTAAAGAACAACCCATGTCGGCGTCAAATGCATGAATGCTATTTATAAGCAAAATAAGGGGAATACGGATTACTATTGGGGATTTTTTAAAATAAACATGTGTTGTATATAAATTATAACCTGCTGTTAGTCCTACTGTTTCGTTAAAATATATAGTATAATCACAGCTGGTTACTTGATAACAGTATTTGTAAGAGTTAAGAAGACTGATGAGTCGGCCAGACTGATGTGATGTGTACGGCTATCTAGAGAAATTTTATAAAATAATGAATATTAGGGCAATAATTACACTATACCCTGATCCTTTTGATAAAGCTGTTCGCGAAAAAGTTTAAAGAGGTAACAAATGGTAAAATGTTATGGAGCTGTTGGTTCAAATATGCATAAGACTACTTAAAACGCTGGTCAAAAGAAATAGAGCATATCGGTGTGCAGTGTGGGGCAATTGGCAAAGGATCGAGAGATATATTTTTTCCGCTCTCTTGACTCTTGATTCATGATCAATGATCGACCCACTCAAGAGAGCGAAAAATACATTATATATTGTCGACGTTTCAGCTACAGGCTGCCAAAAAAGAGGTCATTAGATAGGCGTATATGTAAAATACTGGTTATCTTTGACTCTTCACCCTTGGTGTAGGGCTCATTGGATAGAATTAGATCTCGGAACGGCCTAACAGTATTTCTAAGTTTAATATTGAAATTCAACCGTACAAAACTTTTAGTTATTATATTCCGCAACATGACGCTAGAGAGAGATTGATTGAGGAGCACTACCCGAGGGCATTACTCGGCACTAACGCCTTAAAATCTTTAATTACAATCAAATATAAATATATGCACACAATGTATAAAATATGAATAATGTATAAAAGAGGCTATTGTCATATAATTAACAGGATGGAAAAGAGACAAAGAGTATCTCTACATATTATTACTACATATTTTTACCACATATTTTTACTTCTATTCGGGTCGGAAGAAAATAACATCACAGCAGTGGCTTTTCAAATTCTACATATGTATGCATTCTAACATTATAATTTAAGTAGTTTGCCGTATTACACGATTACAGA